GTTCTCAGGAAATGTTACGCACGTCTCTGTGAAAAGTGGCTTTCAACTTGGCCTGGCGCCCCGCGTCGGACCTTCCGCACGAGCTCCAGGGGCCCCGGTGGAAACGGTTCCTCCCTCACGGAGCGCCGTCCGCATCAGGGCCCCGACGGCAGCGCCACCGCAGGGCCAGGTGTGGCCAGGTGCTCTAGCTGTCGCGGTTGTCCCTGCATGCCTGGCCCGGGAAACGCCTGGTCCGGCAAACGCCTGGTCCGGCATCCGCAGCACTGAACCCCACGTGGGAAGGAGCTCTCCTGTGACGTGGCCAAGACGGGGAGGGGTGGTGCCTCGGCCCTGTTCCCGCCCGGTGGTGAGAGGCGCTTACGACCCGCTGACGTTCTGTGTTGTGTCGCGTGGACTGTGTCTTTGGCCGCGCCTGGTGTGTGTGGGCGAGTGTGAGAGCGAGTGAGGCCGAGGCGGCGCCCCGACGCCGGTGGCCTGGCCCCCGTGGGTCCTCGGCCAGGGCTTCGGGGCGACCATCGCTTCCTTCCTCTTCGTTGCTGCTCGGTCCCGGGGCCGCGCAGGCCTCCCACAGGGGCCTTTTGCTCGCAAGCTGTCCTCCTCGGGAGAGCTGGCGCCCCCCACGGAGGACAGACGCCCAGGACAGCTGAGGCCACGGGACGCCCTCAGCCCCGGGCCTCGCTGCTTGGTCTGGCCAGTCTGGCCCTGACCCTGTGCTTTCCTGACTTCTGAGCTGCTTTGGTTTCTGTCTGTTATCAGCGGCGATCCCACTGTTTATTCTGGCCGTGGTTCAGGGAGAAGGGAGTGGAGGGGGATGACTGGAACCGGAAGGGAGACAGGACAGGGTATCCTTCGGTGACATTCTGCCACGTGGAGAGCTTGCTCCTTTTTTGCTCCTTCTGGGAAGGAGAAGAAGGGACCCTGTGGAGCCTGGCCTCGGGGGACCTACCACTCCAGGTTCACGGTATGCTTCCGGATGGGCCTTTGGTCACCTGACCAGATGGCATGCGTGGCTCCTGCCAGCACTTGTCCTGGGGCTGGTAGCCAGGGGGCCCAGGAGTGGCCAGCTCCCCAGGGAAGACGCATGTCGCGGCCGGAAGGGTCGCCGATGTCCTCAGATGGTTCCACACCCCCTCCCCCCGCCAGACCCGTCCAGGGGAGCAAGGGCGGCAGGCCAGAGCGACAGCGGAGCTGCCGGCCTCAGGGCCCGGCGCCGTGGCCCGCCACAGGCATGCGCTGCGGTGCGTGGGCTGAGCCAGCTGAGACTGGGACAGGAAGCACAAGCAAGTCGACCTGGCCTGATGGTCGTGTCACTGCAGCCTCAGGGCACCCAGGGGCTGGGGTCTGCGCAGAGGATCAGCCAGGCGGGTGCAGCTCTGGGCGGGGCACTTGGGCCCCTCTCGTCACAGCGGCTCCCTCTCTATCCGGGTACCTGGGTCCACCTGTCTGGCTGTGCTTGACGAGTCAGCACCTTTACCAGTGCCAGATACAGGGGAACACGCTCTGCACAGGAAGGAAGTCACGAAATCACTGCTCTTAAACAGTTGAGCGTCTCCCCCAAGACAGTTGGGTCCAGCGTCGGAAGTGGGAAGGGCTGCACCTAGGAGCTCATCAGCTGCGCCGGAGTGAACACCGAGTGTCCCTCGTCCGCCACCTGCAGCTCTCTCTCCACGTGAAGCTCCCAGTCACACAGCGCCGTGGAGGGCAGAACCTGTGATCAGTGCTCAGACAGTCTATCCAGCTTCACCACTTCTTAGGTCCGTAAAGGGTACACAGCCTGCATTCCCCATGAGATGAGAGTCGTGCTGGGGGGCGGGGTGGGGCGGGTCCCTAGGCCGGGCACCGTCGTCTCTGCCTGCATTCCCCATGAGATCAGCGTCGTGCTGGGGGGCGGGGGGCGGGTCCCTAGGCCGGGCACCGTCGTCTCTGGCTCGCTCACTGCAGGGGGCCTCCGGTCTCCCTCCCAGGGCCTGGCTGGTTCATGTTTTGGGTTTGCTGTTTGTGGGAGTTTGGTGAGAGTGGATTTCTGTGTTGCCAAACGTGCATCGGTGATTCTCAAGGTGGAAGGGAATGGGTTTGTGGGGGGCCCCCGGGCTGCCTGGCCCCTTCTCTGGACCTCACTGGTCCTGGCGAAAGACTAGTTCAAGGTCGCAGACATCGTTCAGCTAATGCTCTTACTTCCTCTAAAGGTAGCTCTGCGTGGACCATTCCGAGTGAGCTGTGCATCTCCTGGGGCGTGTTGTGAGATCTCTGTGGACAGAAACCCCTTTCTTTGGCCGCTTGGAGTTCAGAAGGAGGAGAAAGACTTTTTTTTTGGCTTGTTACTTTGGTCAGTTTCTTCCTTTATGCAGACAAAGAACAGACCAAACGTGAGAGCGTGTTAGAGAAGAGAGGTTTGTTCGCGGGGCTTTTAGGGTTTAGACTTAACATCCAGTTGATGCAGGGAAATGAGCTGTTTTTCTCCAAATGCCTCAAGTTCTGCTCTGCCCTGGGATGGCTTCATCGTGCCCCCGGGAACGGGCTTCGGGCGCCACAGACCATGGCGGCCGCCCCTTGCTTCAGTGCCGAGTAAACAGTGCGCTGCTTGTTCTAGAATGAGTTACCCAAGATGATCCTGAGGCTCTGCAGGTAGAAACGGCCAGAGTCGCTAAACCGGGGCCCCGTGCCCACGTGGCTGACAGTGAAAGCGGCTTCTCCACGGCTGCTCGAAGCCGCCCTCGTGATACCTCTGCCAAGAGACCATGGTGCTTCATAAGAGCATCATTTAAACCATTCACACGTGCTGCTGTAAAGGCGGGAGGGCCCGAGAGGGAGGGAGGGAGGGCGGCCCGGGGCTGGGGTGCGGTGGGCACAGCGGTGGTTTCTGTCCGTGTCCTCAGGTTGCTGCCCCATGTTTTAGAAACTACTCTCATCTCCCAGGTTCCTTTCTCGAGGCCTTGTTTCCCACGTTAGGGTTCAAAGTGCTCAGGACACAGCTCCCGCCATCGCGTGTGTGCCCGCCCTTCCTGCCGGGGCCCCGCTGCTTGGCTTTTCTTTTACCAGCAGAAGCTGCTCCCTCTGGGTCCAAGGGCGGCGGGTCTGGGCCCGACGCCTGCAGGTGTCCTCGGCCATCGGTAACTGCGCGGCCCCTCGGGTGACCTTGTCCGACTGTGAGGGTCTCTGCGGAGAGCGGCCGCCCGCTCCGTCCAGCCCCGGAGTCACAGCCGCTCTGCAGCGCGGGGTGTGTGACACACCACCAGCATTTCCTCCGAACGGGAATAGAAAACGGGCCGTCTGCCGAGTGTGTTTAGGGAAGGTAGTTTTTGCTCGTATGCTGCAAAGAAAGGACGGTCACTTGCCGAGTTGTCGCGCCCCCAGCACTGCCGGGCTGGCGGGGGCGTCTCTGCGGAAGGCCTCCCAGCCAGGCTCAGGCCGCAGCTCAGCCCTGCCTCCGCAGGGACGGTCCCCTCCTGCCATCCAACCGCGTCCTGCTGCGCCACCACCATCCCCCGCCGCCCGCACCCCGCGCCTGCCCCGGGGGCACAGGGCGACTCAGCAGAAGAGAGAGGTTGGAAGGATTCGTGCCTCTGGGTGTGACGAGACCCCCGTGTCCCCAGCACATCCGAGCGGATGTCTGAGCAGCCGATGTGGGAGGTCCGATCTGTCAGGAAAACTGTCCCTGTTCCTGCCCCGAGCAGCACGGTGCCCCTGCCGCCTGCTGACGGGAGGCCTCCTGCGGACTGGCCGCTGGCCAGGAGCAGGGCGCGGGTGCTGCGTTCTCTCACGTGGGGCTGGAATGAAGACCTCCTCGAGCGAGGGAGCCTCAGGACCCTCAGTGTCTTTTCCTTTCCCTAACGGTTTTCGCTGCTCAGTGTTTTAGAAGAGAGTGAAGGCAGCAGTCACTCCGTTTCTAGGCTTCTTTCTTTCTCTCCAGGGAGGAGCCCCACTCAGAGGATTTCGTTCATTCCTTGTACCTGCTTACCATGCTGGTAGCGATTGGGAAGAGGTCGAGAGAAGACGAAGCGGACACGCTTCTCCACTTGGGCTGACGTGCCCAAAACTGGCTGCATGGGGCCCGCACCCCCGGCCGGATGAGACAGGGTGTCTTCAGTTTATGGCTCTGGGTTTTAGCCTCCCTTTCGCGTCCAAGGGAGACGTGAGAGGTCTCCAAACTACTCTCGCCTTTTTGCCCCAACCCGGTTATTTTAAGAGTCAAGATAGAATTGGAAGAATTCTAGTTCATTATTCTTTATTTGAGAATCTTTTCCGGAATCGTTGCCTCGTTTGATTCGTCCGAATACTTATTGGTGGTTTACTCTGTGTCAGAAACAGTAAAAAGTGCAGGGGAGGCCAGACCCTAGAGGGACAGGGCCATTCAGACCTGCGACCCCGCCCCCGGGGTTAACGTTCCAGTGGCCTGACACTTTAAAAAGATTCTGTGCTTCCTGTGTAAAGGTTTTCTTACCTGCAGTAATAGGACTTGCTCCTCTGAGCTGTTGCCCAGAGCCACGAGGAGTGCTGTGACCTGTCCCCAAGTTCTGAACGTACTGGCTGAGCTGGGATGAGGCCTGTGCCTCTGAAATGGAATTTTTGTGCATGAAGTGAACTGGCCTGAAGGCGATCGAGCTACGCCTGTGGCCTCTTCAGAGCTTCGCCTCTGAATTTCTGGGTTAACTGGGCCAAAAAAAGTTTTTAATAAGTAAAAATAGGGTTTAAAACTCCCAACACTTTAAGTTTGGCCCTTACCGCCTCCCTTCCCAGCTTCCTTTCAGGAAGGGCTTTCTGAATACCTAGTAGCCCAGAACTGGCTCGATTTCTAGCTCAGGACGGGGATCCGGGAGGAAAGAAGAAAACGTGTCCCTGCTCGTGGCTTACACTCGGGCCCTGACCTTGGGCAGCTTGGTGCACGTGGGGGAGGGTTAAACCCAGCACAGATTGTTCCTTCTTCTCTGACTGAGAGTTCTCCTGTAAAGATCATTTGGGGGGGGCGGGTGTTGTTAGGGGCGTGTCTGTGCGAGTGGTTGTTTTTTTTTTTTTTAATGGTGTCTGTCTAGAGTGTTTTTCACGATATGTTTAATCATCAGTGCTTTAAAAAGTGGTGGTATCCTGTACAGTGAATTAGGTCCCAGAGCGTTGGATGGTAGAGAGTGATCGGGCCTGTGGGACACCCAGGAGGGTCGGCACAAACCCCGGCACGGGGACGAGCGGACGGGGTGGGGCCCACCGCAGCTGGGCCGGCCTGCGTTTTCATTTCAAATGGGATACAGTATTTTTTTTTTTAAAGTTTGAGATCTGAATGTGATTTCTAATTGTACCAGACGTTAATGTTTTAAAGCTATAACAAAGTTTAAAATTTCTACTTTTTGTTTCTCATTTATTTTAACTGTTCTTTTATCTATTAAATCGTTGTATGTGGATGGGGAAGTTTTGTTTCTCCTCTTAGCATTTGTTTCTATAACCAGAAATAAAATTATATATTAAAGAAACGACACCGGGCTCTGTGTGGTCTTGGGAGCGGCAGCTCCGCCCCCTCAGCTGCGGGGAAATCGCCGCCTGCTCTCTTCGGGGTGCTGCTGGATTGACAGTCACCGGAAGGGGCGCTTGGGCGTTGGTGCCGCAGTCTGGCTCCGACGGGGTTTGTCACAAATCCATGATCCTCAAGGTTCCCTCATGTTTGTGCGTGGGACTCATCCCCTCGTTCAGCTGATAACGTGCCTTTCTCAGATTTCACAGTGGTCCACGGTGCTGACTAAGGTTTGAGCACTTCTCTTCCTCCCTCTTGTGCTCCATCACCGCTCCAGCTGAAGCCTTCGTACAACAGTGTCAGATTAATCACAGGTTAGGATTTTAACTAGAGAGCAAGCAAGAGTGAGAATAATGAGTTTTAGGAGTTATATTGGCTAATTAGCATCTTTTTTAACAATTTCCTCATTTATTTATTTATTTATGGCTGCGTTGGGTCTTCGTTGCTGCGCGCGGGCTTTCTCTAGTTGCGGTGAGTGGGGGCTACTTGTCATTGCGGTGTGCGGGCTTCTCACTGCGGCAGCTTCTCTTGTGGAGCTCGGGCTCTAGGCGCCTGGGCTTCAGTAGTTGTGGCTCGTGGGCTCAGTAGTTGTGGTTCGCGGGCTCTAGAGCACAGGCTCAGTAGTTGTGGCTCGCGGGCTGAGTTGCTCCATGGTACGTGGGATCTTCCCGGACCAGGGCTCGAACCCGTGTCCCCTGCATTGGCGGGCGGATTCTTAACCACTGCACCACCAGGGAAGTCCTTAATTCGCATTTTTAAAACTGTTTAAGTTTTTTAAGTTTTGTTTTTGATTAAGACAATCATTTCTCACTAGTAAGACCTTAAAATAGCATTTTACACAAATGTACATTTTGTAAGAAATAGTCAAATATTACCCTTGGTAATATGACTTGGGGTGTGTGTGTGAGTGTGTGAGAGCACATAGTCCTCAATAAAAGTTAAGCTACCCTATGAACCTGGGTGAGTACCAAAGACAAGTGAGTGCGTATCCCCACCAAAAGCCAGGTTGTGCATCGCAGCTGTAATCATTATTGCCGAAATTTGGAAACAAACCAAATATTCGTCAAGAGTAGAATGGAGAAGTTGTGGTAAACTCATACAGTCACACACTGATAAGTACTCGGCAGTAAGAGCTGCTGTCATCCTACAACAGATGAGCCTCACGGCATCACCGTGAAGGCAAAATGCAGTACTGTGGGTTCCATTTGTATGAAGTGTAAAAAGAGGCAAACCTGATCTCTGGTGATGAGAGCGAGGCTAGCGGCTGCCTCTGGGGAGGGGAGCCAGAGGGGAGGGGGAGGCGTCCCGAATCCTGAGTCCTGGCCGTGGCCACTCAGGTTCACAGCAGCGAGTGCTGGTGCCAGCTTGCGAGAGCTGCGTGTTCGGTTTTCAGGAATTCTGAGAGCTAACTGTTCACCAAAGCCATTATTAAAATTTTACTTACATAAACTTAATGTAAAAAAATTACGTTAAGACCCAAGATGATACTCAATTCACAGCTCCCTATTATTTTACTATTACTGCTGCTCTCGAGGTTGTTCGTGTGGATTGGGCCCGCGGGATGGACAGACTGTCCAATGGGGTGCTGCATACTGTGTATCTGCTCCCAGCTGTCCAGCGACAGCACGCCGGCAGCTTGAAATCCGCCACTGTGGGAGTGTTCACACCACGGAAATTATCGAACGCTGCAGATGGGCCTCCCCACACCCACCGCAGAGCCAGTTAGCGGTTTACCAGCAGACCACGGAGTCACAGAAGTGAGACATCACTGAGCTCATTTCAGATGTGTGTGCCTTATAGATGTTTTACTTTAATAAACTGTGTGTGCGCGCACGCGTGTGTGTGCGCGTGTGTGTGCGCGCGCGCGTGTGTGTGCGTGCGTGCGTGCGTGTGTGTGTGTGTGTGTGTGTGTGTGGCTGTGGAGCGGCATTCGGGCTCCTTTCCAGGTCTCGCACTTCGTAGGTCCAAAGGCAGTTACGTTTGCTTTGATTTGTAGGCCGCGGCTCAAGTAAACCAGCAAATTCCCACCAAAACCACGTGTCGTCACGAAGCGACCGTCTGGTAGCTTCAGACCCAGCTTTCTGTGCTGTTCCACGATTCCAGGGCGGGGCCTCTGCAGGCCCGCCTCTGCTGTGCCGGCTCTTCCCTGGTGGGCGGCCTGACGCGGGGCGTTGGCGGGGCCTGGAAGGCCGGAGGCTGCTTCCTGTTCTCCGCGGCTTTCTTCATCTCCAGGAAACGTCCAGGCAACAGCAGCTGACAGCAGTGGGTTGTCCCAGCCCATGGGGGCCTCCTCCCAGGTCAGTTTCAGCTCTGCGGGACCCCTCGGCCCAGCCCTAGTCTTTCACCATTCCACCCTCTTCCCCCTTGTTCCCCCAGCATTAGGAGCAGCTGCTGCTCCCTGTGCCCCTTCTGTTCTTCCACACCTGGTTGCAATTTTTTTTTCTTTTTTGCGGTACGCGGGCCTCTCACTGTTGTGGCCTCTCCCGTTGTGGAGCACAGGCTCCGGACACGCAGGCCCAGCGGCCATGGCTCACGGGCCCACCCGCTCCGCGGCATGTGGGATCTTCCCGGACCGGGTCACGAACCCGTGTCCCCCGCATCGGCAGGCGGACTCTCAACCACTGCGCCACCAGGGAAGCCCATGCAATTATTTATATTGAATCTTCTAATGAAATACCTGCTTTGCATCCCCAGACGGGCCTCCGACAGACGCCAGGTGCTGACGGAGGAGTCCGTGCTGACCTCGCTCAGGCCTCCCTGCAGCACCTGGGACTCCCGCTTCGCTGGCCACTGCTCAGCAGGCAGCGGGCAGAGCGGCTACAGGCGTTGACCTGGAGTCCGGGTGCTGGTTCCGGTCCCTCCTCCGCCTACACGTATGAGGGCCCTTAGCCAGTCTTTTAGCTTCAGCCAGCTCATCCTTCAAAATGATAACAATTACGCTGTCCACAGGGCGAGACGGCCATGTTAGGTGAGACGGCCAAGGTGCGGTGCTCTGCAGGCTTCCCAGAAAGACGGCCTGTAACCAGGCTTCCTTCGCCAGTTCCCTTCCTCTTCACCCTGGGGCTCTTCGGGGCTCTCGGGGTGGGGGGGGCGCCCGCCTCGCTCCATGCGCTCTCGGGGCAGATGCGTTCTCACCGCCTCACCCGCCGCCACTGGCTCCCGGCTCTTCACCCTCAGCTCCAGTCACCCGCAACATCTCCACTTGGCCGCTGTAAGAGCGTCTCACCACCCCGCCCCCGCCCCTCCCCTCCATTCTGGGTCTTCCCCACTGCTCACCCCTCCAAGGCCTCCCTGACCCTCCCTATCCCAAGAACATCCAACTTTCCCTCAACCCTCTTCTCTTACTCGGCTTTATGGCCCCTTCAGAGCATTTCACCACTAGGCTCACGTGAGTGATTGTATATTTGATAATGGTCGTTTTTGTTGGCTGTAAATTCCATGAGGGCAGGGACTTGGCCTCTCGCGGTCCCCATTCCCCAGAACCTAAAACACTACGACCACAGCACAGGGACTCAGTCGTTGCGTGTTCCTTGAATGAATGACTCCACAAACCTCCTCATCCTCCTGCCCCGAGGTCGAGTGAATGGCGCCACCCCATAAGCAGAAACCTGCTATTGCCCTTGTTTTTTCCGTTCTTCCTCTCACCCAAGTCCATGTTACCAGGTGCTACAAATTCCCCCTGAACGGTTACTGAATCAGCCTACGACTCCATTCACGTGGCCCTTACCTAGCTCAGGGAGCCTCCCTCCCTCTCCGGGACCAGCCCCTTCTCTCCACCCACCCACCCCACGGCCCCCCAGTCCATTCTCTACTCTGCTGCCCAGCAGCAGGTTTCCCCTGAGGTGCATGTAAACCACAGGAAGCAGGCCTTCGTGCTCCCTTCAGGAGCTCCGCCTAGGCCATCCCCTCCCACCCCTTGGTCTGACACCCTCTGGGCTCATCTTAGGCACCTGTCCTTCCCGAAGTATTCCTCCTGTTTTAGGCTGTAACAGCATTTACCACGCTGGATTGTCACTGCCCAGAGGACCGCCCTGTGTCCCCGCGCAGTCTGCAGGGTGGAAATACTGTGGCCAACACACCTCTCAGAATTACTAGAAATTGACCTTCCCTCTCTGAGCATGTTGCCTTATCTGTAAAACGAGATACTGATAGTCTGTGATTATGGTGGGGATTGAATAAGATTTTTTAAAGCAGCAGGTACTGCCTACGTTGGGTGCAAAATGAAATGAGAGCTTTAAAAAAGAACTTCTGACAGCTGCAGCTGTTCCTTGCAAACTGCAGGACACGGACCCAGCCCACGACCGCAGTCTGTGTAGTATATTCAGGCCGCACTGAACACGGGACCTGCAGGCGGCGGAGCGGACTGTGTTCGTGGAACAGAACCTAGAACTGGGGCGATGAGCTGAGGCCCAGCGGTGACAGGCCGCTCCTAACAGCTCCCGGGCACCCAGCGCCCGGAGCTGCACCGGGGTGCCGGGTGCCATGGTTCCGGGGTGCGGAGGTTCCGGAGTCTCGAGGTCCCGGAATCCCGCGGTCCAAAGTGCCGGAACGCGACCCAAACCCAGCCCCGACCGGCAGCCCTCGCGCTGACGGCCCCGCCCTCGGCTGAGACGCTCCGTCAAAGCCCATTGGTCGACGGCCTGTGCGCCCCTGCTCACGTGATGCACCACGGGACGCTGCACGGGACGCGACCCGGAAGCCGGCGTTGCTGCGGGCTTTTCTCCCGGAGTCGCCAGCGTGCGGAGCGCCAGGGCTCCTCTCCGGGCGGCGGCGGCAGCGGCAGCGGCAGCGGCAGCGGCAGCGGCAGCAGCAGCAGCAGCAGCAGCACTAGGAGGAGGAGGAGGAGGAGGATGTTCACGACGGGGGCGGAGAGTCTGCTCCGCCAGGCCAGGTGCGTCCGAGCTTTTCCCTTCGGGCACTTGGTGGTGGGTCTCAGAGCCGGGCCTGCGCGCGGCGACTCGAAAGAGCCCCCTTTGAACCCACTTTAGAGACTCAGGTCGGGGAGGCCACGCGGGCCAGGCACGGCGTGAGGAGGTCCGGGGAGGGTCGAGCTGGTCCCCGGAGGAGGTGGCTCCTGAGAGCGCTCTGAAGGATGAGTGGAAATGAAGTGGGGTGGGCCCCCGCTGATGGATTGGCCAAAGGCTTGTCGGCTGCGTACCCCCACGTCTGGCAGGAAGTGGGGTCCAGAGCTGTCAGTTGCTTCAGGGTCAAGAAAGCTTCAGGGTCAAGACGCTGGAGAGCCTGCTGGATTGAGCCATGGCGAGCCCTGTGCAAAGCCCATGAGTTCGATACCTTGCGAGGGCTTTGGGGAGCCATGGAGGATTTTGCTATATAGAAAGATCCGCTCTCTTGTGGATGCATTGAATGTATTGAGAAATTACCCAGCGTCTTAGAACCCCGAGCTGGCTCTGGACTCTCACTAAGTCGGTAGCCCCTTCCTCACCAACTAGCCACTCATGGGAGAAAGCAGATGTAAGCTCGGACTAAAACCCCATGACTTGTTGCTACTTTAAGAGAAGAAAATGCGGCCAGAACCATGGTTTAAAAAAAAAAAAAAAAACTGGATTCGGAGCTGGACCAGTTGCTGGGAAGGATTAGGCTGGTTGAGGCGCCTCTGATCTTAGGGAAGCAAGATCTTGAATGCATATTAGTTTCAAAAGGCTGTAAACAGGGTAGACGTTTGATATGGTCAGAATAACCCCTAAAAGTGTGTTAAGCAAGTGTTTTGAGGATTTGTAGCACCATCTCCCCACCAAGTCCAAAAAAGTCTGTATTTCTTTCAATCCTGGACAGATATTCCAATATTCAAGTTCCAGTATTCCAATTCAAGTTCACTTGAATTTAGGAGAGCTGTATTAAAGAAAAATAGATATCTTTTTTCAAAAATTGACGTATAGTTGATTTACAATATTAGTTTCAGGTGTACAACATAGTGATTCAATATTTTTATAGATTATACTCTATTTAAAATTATTCTAAAATATTGGCTATATTTCCTGTGCTATACAATATATCTATAGCTTGTTTAATACATAGTTTGTACCTTTTAACCCCCTACACCTATCTTGCCCCTCCCCAATTCCCACTCTCCACTGATAACCACTAGTATGTGCTCTATAAGTCTGTTTCGTTGTATTCATTAGTTGCATTTTTTAGATTCTGCATTGTAAATGATAACATACAGTATTTGTCTTTCACTGTCTGACTCATCTCACTATGCATAATATCATCCAGGTTCATCCATGCTGTTGCAAATGGTAGAATTTCACTTTTTTATGGTTGAGTAATATTTCATTGTGTATATATATCTATATATAATCACATCTTCTTTATCTATTCATCTGTTGATGGACACTTAGGTTGCTTCCATATCTTGGCTGTTGTAAATAATGCTGTGAACATTGGGGTGTATATACCTTTTCAAATTAGTGTTTTTGTTTTCTTAGGATATATACCCAGGAATGGAGTTGCTGGATGGTAGGTAGTTCAGTTTTTAGTTTTTTGAGGAACTTCCACAGTTTTCCATAGCAACTGCACCAATTTACATTCACACCAACAGTGAACTAGGGTTGTCTTTTCTCCACATTCTCACCAACATTTGTTATTGTGGTCTTTTTGATGATGGCCATTCTGACAGGTGTGAGGTGTTATCTCATTGTGGTTTTGATTTGTATTTCTCTGACAGTTAGCTGTGTTGAGCATCTCTTAATGTGCCTATTGGCCATCTGTGTGTCTTCTCTGGAAAAATGTCTATTCACGTCTTATGCCCATTTTTTAATTGAGTTTTTATCTGTATTGAGTTGTATGAGCTGTTTATATATTTTGGATATTAATCCCTTATCAGTCATATCACTTGAAAAAATTTTCTCCCATTCGGTAGGGTTCCTTTGCTGTGCAAAAGCTTTTAAGTTTAATTAGGTCCTATTTGTTTATATTTGCTTTTGCTTCCTTTGCCTTAGGAGATAGATCCAAAAAAAATATTGCCATGATTTATGTCAAAGAGTGTTCTGCCTGTGTTTTCTTCTAGGAGTTTTATGGTTTCCGATCTTACATCTAGGTCTTTAATCCATTTTGAGTTTACTTTTGTATATGATGTTAGAGTATGTTCCAATTTCTTTCTTTTACATGTAGCTGTCCAGTTTTACCAGCACCACTCATTGAAGAGACTGTCTTTTCCTCATGGTGTGTGTGTGTGTGTGTATATTCTTGCCTCCTTTGTCGTAGATTAATTGACTGTAAGTGTGTGGGTTTATTTCTGGGCCCTCTTTTTTCTGTCCCATTGATCTATGTGTGTGTTTTTGTGCCAGTACCATACTGTTTTGATTACTGTAGTTTTGTAGTAGAGTATAGTCTGAAATCAGGGAGCATGATCCCTCTCTCCAGCTTTGTCCTTTTTTCTCAAGATTGCTTTGGCTATTCATGGTCTTTTGTAGTTCCATATAAATTTTAGTATTATTTGTTCTAGTTCTGTGAAAAATGTCGTGGGTGTTTTGATAGGGGTTGCATTAAATCTGTAGATTGCTTTGGGTAGTATGGACATTTTAACAATATTAATTCTTCCAATTCATGGACATAGGATATCTTTCCATTTCTTTGTAGTATCTTCAGTTTCCTCTGTCAGTGTTTTACAGCTTTCAGAGTATAGGTCTTTCACCTCTTTCGTTAAGTTTATTCCTGGGTATTTTATTCTTTTTCACATGATTTTAACAGGATTGTTTTCTTGCTTTTTCTTTCTAATAGTTCTTTACTAACGTATAGAAAAACAACAGGTTTCTGAATATTAATCTTTTTTTTAATTTATTCATTTATTTATTTTTGGCTGTGTTGGGTCTTCGTTTCTGTGCGAGGGCTTTCTCTAGTTGTGGCAAGCGGGGGCCACTCTTCATCGCGGTGCGCGGGCCTCTCACTGTCGCGGCCTCTCTTGCTGCGGAGCACAGGCTCCAGACGCACAGAGCTCAGTATTTGTGGCTCACGGGCCCAGTTGCTCCGTGGCACGTGGGATCTTCCCAGACCAGCGCTCGAACCCGTGTCCCCTGCATTGACAGGCAGACTCTCAACCACTGTGCCACCAGGGAAGCCCTGAATATTAATCTTGTATCCTGCAACTTTACTGAATTTATTTATTCTAATAGTTTTCTGGTGGAAAATTTAGGCTTTTCTATATATGGTATTATGTCATCTGCAAATAGTGACAATTTTACTTCCCTTCCAAGTTTTATGCCTTTTATTTATTTTTCTAGTCTGATTGCTGTGGCTAGGACTTCCAATAGTGTGTTAAATAGACGTGATGAGAGTGAGCATCCTTGTCTTGTTCCTGATATTAGAGGAAAAGCTTTTAGCTTTTCACTGTTGAATATGATGTTAGCTGTGGGTTTGTCATAAATGGCCTTTATTATGTTGAGAGATGGTCCCTCTGAGAGATGTTCCCTCTGAGAGATGTTTGATGAGAGTTTTTATCATGAATGGGTGTTGAACTTTGTCAAATGCTTTTTCTGCATATATTGAGATGATCATGTGAATTTTATCCTTTCTTTTGTTAGTGTGGTGTATTACACTGATTGATTCGCAGATATTGAACCATGCTTGTGACCCTGGAATAAATCCCACTTGATCGTGGTGTATGACTTTTTTGTTGTTGTGGCTGTGCTGAACAGCTTGCAGGATCTTAGTTCCCTGACCAGGGATTGAGCCTTCGCCCTCAGCAGTGAAAGTGCAGAGTGCTAACCACTGGACATCCAGGGAATTCCCTAGGATCTTTTTTTATTGTTGAATTTGGTTTGCTAATGTTCTGTTGAGAATTTTTGCGTCTATATTCATCAAATATATTGGCCTGTAATTTTCTTTTTTTGTAGTGTCTTTGTCTTGTTTTGGTATCAAGGTAATTGTGGCCTCATAGAATGCATTTGGGAGTGTTCCATCCCCTTCAGTTATTTGGAACAGTTTGAGAAGGATGGTATCTCTTCTTTATATGTCTGGCAGAATTCCCTCATGAAGCTGTCCGGTCCTGGACTTTTGTTCACTGGGAGTTTTGTTTTTTTGGGTTTTTTTAAATAAATTTATTTATTCTCTTTATTTGTAGTTGAGTTGGGTCTTCATTGCTGTGCACGGGCTCTTTCTAGCTGCGGTGAGCAGGGGCTACTCTTCGTTGTGGTGTGTGGGCTTCTCATTGTGGTGGCTTCTCTTGCTGCAGAGCACAGGCTCTAGGCACGCGGGCTTCAGTAGTTGTGGCTCTCAGGCTCCAGAGTGCAGGCTCAGCAGTTGTGGCACACAGGCTTAGTTGCTCTGCGGCATGTGGTGTCTTCCTGGACCAGGGCTTGAACCCATGTCCCCTGCATTGGCAGGCGGATTCTTAACCACTGCGCCACCAGGGAAGCCCAGGGAGTTTTTTAAATTACTAATTCAATTTCACTGCTAGTGATAGGTCTGTTCAGATTGTCTATTTCTTCTTGATTCAGTCTTGGACTTGTATGTTTCTAGAAATGTAGCAGTTTCTTCTGGATTGTCAAATTCGTTGGCATATAACTGTTGGTAGTATTTTCTTATGGTTGTTTGTATCTCTGCGATATCATTTTTCATTTCTCCTCTTTCTTATTTTATTTGGATCCTCTCTTTTTTTTTTTTAATTGATCAGCCTGACTAAAGGCTTACCAATTTTATATTTTTAAAAAACAGCTCTTAGGGCTTCCCTGATGGCGCAGTGGTTGAGAGTCTGCTTGCCGATGCAGGGGACACGGGTTCGTGCCCCGGTCCGGGAAGATCCCACATGCCGCGGAGTGGCTGGACCTGTGAGCCATGGCCGCTGAGCCTGCGCGTCCAGAGCCTGTGCTCCGCAACGGGAGAGGCCACAACAGTGAGAGGCCCGCATACTGCCAAAAAAAAAAAAACAAAAAA